TATACATAAAAATTGTAACAATTATTTTTTAATGGTGGGAAAGATCAATGATCAGTCACAAAGCATTCATATTAGTGAAAAAAAATAAAGGGTTGGATCCAGATAGAAAAGCAACTCAGCTTACTTGATGGTACATTTTCAAGTTCTCTTCATTCACTCATTGCCCTTGTGCGCCCCCCCCCCCTTTGTCTCCTTTGTCTAGAATAATGTGCACTGGAGCATAGTAGGAAAAGGAAATGGGAAGAATTTGGCAGAGGTGTCTTGCACAAGCAAAAAAATATCTCTGGATCCAATCTAATAAAGGCATATTATAAAGCAGATCCAGGCCTTCCTCCACACAATGTGTTGGCACAAACTCAGAATGTTGATTAGAAAAGATGACTAATGCAAGCATCTGAGAGATTCCCAATCTTTCATAGATTCACGTGAAAGTAACAAACATTAATTTGAATGGATGAGTAGATTCACATAGGCAATTTCATAATTTGTTGTCTACAATACCAAGGGATGGCTTACATGTGTAAATAGCCCATCAGACGTAACACTAGAAATGGAATGTTCATGTTACCTCAAAATAGTTGTTCTGGGTTTTTCAGGCTCTTTGGCCGTGTTCTGAATTACCTCAAAATACCTTGCTTTTCAGTAAAACCAGTTCACATATGAATGGCCAGTCCTTAGCTGTACAATTATAAAGCATAGAGAAATCTCTTGCTTAGAGGTAAGTGTGAACTGGCCTGATATTACATCCCAGCAAGTCTATTTAGGATTTTGGAGTTAGGAATACTGTTGCCACACAAGCCTCATTGAAGTTGAAGTGATATGCTTATGGTCATTTTCTGTGCATTCGCAGTGCAGCTTTTGCTTGACTCTGCCTTCAGTAAAGCCTCTGCCTTCAGTAAAGCAACTACAGTGCAAACGGTTTGCACTGAACGCACCCAGTGTTTCCACAACTGAAACAGCATCTCTATAAAAAAGAGGTGACCACATTTCATAAATGTACAGCACAAGACAGTCAATGGGTTTTTTCAAAAATGATCAAGCACAGTGTACTGAAATAAATGTAAATCTGTAACAGAAGCTTGTCTCTTGAAACAAGCAAGCATGTGTCCATGTGAAATCAACAACTGCAGGCCATTCTGCAACAGACAGTCTCACTTCTTTCAATAATAACACAGTGTATTCAGTGTAATCTTTTCCCATCCTTTAATTATGGATTATCTTGGTTCAAAGTCAAGTACAGTGGTGCTTCGCTTTATGATTGCCCCGCATTACAACGAATCCGCTTTACCACTTTTTGCGATCACAAAACAATGGTCTAAATGGGGAAATTTCACTTTGTGATTATCGGTTCCCTGCTTCGGGAACCGATTCTTCACAAAATGTTTTTCTAACAGCTGATCGGCGGTTTCAAAATGGCCACCGGGTAATTAAAATGGCTCTCTGCTGTGTTTAGGGACGGATTCCTTGCTATACAGGCAGTGAAAATGGCTGCCGTATGGAGGATCTTCACTGGACGGTGAGTTTTTACCCCATTGGAACGCATTGAACGGGTTTCAATGTGTTTCAATGGGGTTTTTTATTTCACTTTACGATGTTTTCGCTTAATGGCGATTTTCCTGGAACGGATTATCGTCGTTCAGCGAGGCACCACTATATGTGCTGATCTTTTGAGAATGTATGCCCCATGTGTTGTTATTGTCATTTGGGCTTTCCAGTCTAACTTAATTCACCTTGATTTTTTATTTAAAGGAAATATGGTGTGCAAATGTTTCAAATAATAATTGTCATGTAGACAAGATAGACGAGATCAGTTGTAGCAGAATATGAATGAGAATAGTGGCTCAAAGGCCTATTCTTTTGAAAGCATTGATGTGGTAACTTCAATGTTCATGTAAGATGTTGGTATGCATATTTGACTACTACTACACCTCACATCAACAGGACGTTTTCCTTTCTTTGGATCAGGGCAGGAGTGATTTTTTATGATAAACTAATATAGATATTAATAAAATCTCTGTGTGAATTGAGACTAAATAGCCTAGCTGAAATTCCATAACTGAAAAATCCTGACTAGAGATTTGCACGAACTGTTACTTTAGCAGTTTGTGCCCATTCGTTTAGTGGCTGCACAGGTGTTTGATTCTTCAAAGCCCTGCTTCCTCTGGGCACTGCCTCTAAGTGGGCACCTGCTAGAGGAGGTGGAGCTTTGAAGCACCAAACACTTGTTTGGCCAATAAACAAACTGGCATGAACCTCTGAAATGGCCGTTCATACCCATCTCTAGTCTTGACTAATGGCTCACTTGATCTGTCAGGGGATGATTCATGTACAGTGGTGCCCCACTTGACAACGATAATCCATTCCGTTAAAATTGCTGTTAAGCAAAATTGTCGTGAAGCGAAAGTAAAAAAAACCCCATTGGAATGCATTAAAAATGGTTAATGTGTTCCAATGGGGGAAATACCTGCTCATTTTGTGAAGACCCTCCATAGGGGAAGCCATTTTAGATTGCTGTCTTCCGGAAATAGGTCCGAGAAACAGCGGGAGGCCATTTTGAAAACCCAACAATCAGCTGTAAAGATCGTCGTGCAGGGAAAAATCAGTTCCCGAAGCAGGGACCAAATCAATGTTAAGCGGGGAAAAATCATAGAAACATCATTTTGCGATCGCTATAGCGATAGCAAAATAGTAATCGTAAAGCGATTTCAATGTTTAATTTTGTGATCGCTATAGCGATCACAAAATAGTAATCGTAAAGTGATTTCAATGTTTAACGGGGTTGTCGTCAAGCAGGGCACCACTGTATATGGATAAGTACTCTTATGTTCCAACTTCACACATTACACAAAAAACAAGAAAAGAAAAAAAATGCTGTGATAATGTAAGAACCCAATCTCCAATAAATATTAAGTTGTCGTCAAGCAGGGCACCACTGTATATTGCTAGTACTCTTATGTTCCAACTTCACACGTCATATTCAGGTGTTCAACCTAAATGTGTGAGAGCACAAAGTGTATGATGCTAGGATAAGGGAAATAAATGCTAGCTTATCCCAATGTCCTCAAGAGCACCAGATTCACCTGTTCCATTCCAGACTTTCACATATCTAGCAGAAAAGTCTAAGAGGGAACTCTAAGTGTATTTTTATTATACTTATTGTAATCTCCTCCCTGACCTTCCCATCCAATATGCAGATACTGGAGGTGGAGGGTGAGTCAGCATAAACAGAGACATGGACTGCAAGTTTGGAGCGTGAACCTTTTGCATTCAAGCTAAAATGTACAGAACTTTTCATTGACCTTATACACAAAAGCATAAACACTAAAATGAGTTATTTCAAGTGGGGTAGCAGGGTTAATTTGTCACAACTAAAGCAACAGAGAGTCCCCCAATAGGATTTGAAGCATTAATTAAAAATATCCTGGGAAATGTACAGTAGAAACATTACCATATAGTTAATTTAATTTAAACATTGCTTCCAATGTGTGGTTAAAGTCAGTTAAATGGAGTTTATTTTCATAGTGGTGCCCTACAGCGTTTGAGGTTACCTAAGCTATTCCATAAACCATAACTGGGTGAATTTTAACTTATTTCAGAAAAAGCAAGAAGGTGTCTTGTGGTATCTTAAAGACTATCAGGCTGTCAGGGGCAGTAGCCCATTTTTTCACAGACCACTAAAGCTTGCATCAAACAACACTTGCTTGCCTGTAAGGTTCCACAAGACTCTTTGTTGCTTTTGTCGTGACTACTAACCCTAACGAGGCAAGACAATGGCTCAAATCCTATCGGGCAAGTTGCACCTGTACAACAGAAATGATCTCACTGGCAGAGGCAGATTACCACTGATTGAAAACTTCCTTTTGGGATTTTGGGGTAGATGCAGCTTCATCACATTGTGCATGATCTGTGTGCACCTTTAAAAACCCAGAAACAAGCCTTTAATCACAGCAGCCAATGACATCCTCCCATTTGCACAAAAAACGCTGTGCACCAGGATTTTAGCCACTGTTAGCAACATTTTGTGCTTCTGGGACTAAATCTTATGAGTTTGGGTATCTGAATACATACATTCCTGTAATCATAATATGTGCATTCTACACATGCGTAGACACAATGGTTTAAAGCCTACCCATATGAAGGTCCAGATAACTGGAATTATACCATGAATCACTGTCCCCAGAGGGTTCATATTGTGAAAAATGATAAATAAATTGAGGGCAGAGAGACAGTATATGTATACATCCACACACTTGTACACTTTCTGGATCATGCTGCACCACTGACCTTTCCAAATTCTTTGCCCGACAGTAGCACCATGTCATCATTAAAAAAAACAGAAACAAAAAACACCAAACAAATCTATAAATGGCTATCCAGATATTTTGGATGTTATCTCAGCCATGAATATAAAATAGGCTATAATATAACCATCCCTATGTTCTAGATATATATCCATATAAATTTCATTTCATCTTCATATAACAATGCAATGCTATTAATATATATATGCATATATAAAAGAAAGGTAATGTTCTATTTTACAAAAGGCAATTATTTTATCAATATAGTTATCAGTTGCTTTTTACACCATTGCAAAATTAGAGGAAAAAAATCCAAATTGCTTGCTTAAAACAAAAGGAAAATATAAAACCCTAGATGATTTCAAGTTGGGATTTCCCTAGCCAAGCCTTTTAGTAAATACAGATGCATTAACTTCAAGTATGGCACTTATATAAATAAGAGCAAAGAGGCGGTGATATATATTCACAGTTAACAGCAATAAATTCTGCTCCTTTGGTATATGTGTGTGGGTTTGTTTAGTGTGGATAAATAAATAGCTTGGCTGAACTTTAGATCATTCTGTTTTGTTTACACACAGCAGGGATCTATGTTATTTATTTATTTATTTATTTGTTCATTCATTCATCTATCTATTCATTTTTATTTATTTATTGTGAATTTGGTAGATCACAACTAGCATAATTATTATTAAGGTCTCTGGTGTGAGCAGACAGGCAAACAAAAATAAAAAAATTAAAATGGCAAAATTATATTCAACACTACTGTTCTTTGTATAATTGTTTTTGTACAAAAAAGGTTAATAGAAAAATGCTAGCCATACACAGTTATCCACTGTGTGAATGTAGACAAACAGTGTAATGTCTGGCATCCAAGAGAAGAGCCCATGGATGTATCAGCAGACTTTTCAGTCATATTTTGCATTGCAAAATTCTCACTCTAGCCTGGCTTTTATGTACATGCTTACATTTTCGTATTGCTGCAAACCACCCACCCCCAAACTCTTCCCCTCCCCCCAAAAAACCCAGCTTCCTTGCAATGTTGAGCTATGACATTCTGGACAAGTTTGTGTCAGTCAAGCAAATATACTAGTTCTAATAATGGCTGGAAAGTTGCTGCACTGCACAATAGCACTGGATCATTAGGAGAAAAGTTACTGAGCTGTAAGGCCAGATTAAAGGTGTGTGTATAGCTGTTTCATCATCAGTTTTCTGTTTAACACTTGCTTTTGTGTCTGGTTTAGAAAGTGCAGATCCAGTACCTTAACGGCAATCTTGGTGGTTTGAGGAAATAATTTCTTAAGCACAGTTCTTTCCCTCATGCTAATTTCCACTAGGTGGGAGATACTTAGGAAAAGTCCTCTGGTTCTGACACAGCCTCACACATAAGCGGAGTCACTAGATTGAGTCCTGCCAAAGTTTGGTACGCTCATGCGCGGCAGGTCCTTGTTCCTGATTTCGTATATTGATTTCCGTTTGGCTTGCACTCCCCTCACTGCCATTTTGATCTTTCTCCAGCCCAAGTGGTTGAGTTCGGCTAGGTTGAGCACCACGCAAATGCCACTGACAGCGAACATGAAGACCAAGAAGACGGTTTTCTCCGTAGGCCTGGAGACATAGCATTCCACTTCCTTAATACAAGGGTACCTATCACATTCATACATGGACGGGACGTTGAATCCATACAGGAAATATTGTCCCACTAAAAACCCAATCTCCAGAGCATTTCTGAAGACCACTTGGATGATATAAAATCTGGAGATGCCTTCTTGCCGCCTCATCTTTGACTTGGTTGTTCTGATAGCTGGGTTGGGGATTTCCTTCACCTCCAAGCAATCAGGTTCTGCCTCCTTAGTAGAGTTTTCAGTGTTTTGCAGCACCCCATTAACAATGGTGTTCTTAATCTTTTTACTGTCCTCTCGTTTCATGGAGTCCTGATCTCGGTCCAAGGTGAGGAAGACAGTGGAATACCTCCTTTCCCTCTGCTTGGCAGACTGGTGAACAGAGTATGTTATAAAGCAGAGGCTGGGTGTGCACACCATGATGATCTGAAATACCCAGTACCTAATGTGAGAAATAGGAAATGCTTGGTCATAACATGCCTGGTTGCAGCCTGGCTGCAAAGTGTTGCATACAAACATAGTCTGTTCATCGTCGTAAACTGTTTCGCCTACAATGGCCACAATAAGAATCCTGAAGATCACCACCACGGTCAGCAGAATCCTATAAAACAAAGGTTGGGTGAGTGCAGAAGTAGAATGCTGAAAAACCTACAGAATCCATTGCTACATACTGGTGGTAGTTACCAGTAGTCCAAAAAAAAGTGTGTGAGAGAAAGGTCGCTTTAAAACACCAGGATAAAACACTAGTATGAAGGAGAAAGGTTGTTTAAATGTGTATTGGAGGCCATTGACGATGATACCTAGAACCACAACATCTATGTTTGGAGACAGTGTAGCTCTCAGAAGGTGAGAATGTAAAATGCAAGATGGGTGTTGTAATCTTGCTCTATGTAGGAACATCTCTGTTATTCCTATGTGACCATCATTAGAGGGAGGATCCTTAAACCCATCTGCTTCTTTATATCTTTCCTCCCACAAACGAGCAAAGACATTTTTATTTGCAAAGATATTTCCAAGACCTTAATTGGTTTTCCTACATTGACGTTCTTTCTTATGCGCTGTTTTTACGGTTCCCATCCTTACGGCTCCTTGTACACTAGCTTTTAGGAACCACTTTGATACATTTGCTGATGTTTTAACATTTGCTTTTACATGTTTATCATACACTCTCAAAAGAAGTACACATTATTCATAAATGTACAAAATGAATGATGAATGGTTGATTTAATTCAAGAGGGTAGCTATTATATTTTCCCAGTTTAACGAGCTAGAAAACAAATCCTCCCCAGATTGTTCTCAACACTACAGAGAAAACGGGAGCTGTCCAGTGCTGATCCTGCTACTCCTTCAGCCTCACAGAACTTGCCAGCTTCTGTTGAGCGGCATTGCTAAATCTTGTGACTGTTGTTGTTTATCTAAAATGATAGCCAAAGCAATGTTCTTCTCCCTACAGATGTTTACAGCAAATAGAAGGAAGTACTTGCCTAGTTTATGAGAGCACAAATCTTTGGTTGACTTATATAGGGCAAGATCTATAACCACAATGTCACTTTTAAGCTGCGGCTAGTGCTCTTCCCTCCCCTCCCTTTCCCTCAATCTCAGCTGCAGAGCAAGAGAAGTTGGTTCAGATCAAAGACATTGGCACCTCTCCCCCACTTTCCGATGGTATGCAGCATATTGATCCACCACCCTAAACCTTAATTGAGAAAAGTAAGGCAAACCAAAGACAGGGAAGCTTGCTTGTCCTTACTTTACCCTTGCTGTTTGCAAGCTGCAATCACCACTAGATTATATACGATTCTTAAGAAATGACTTTCTCTCTTTTCTCCCCCAACCCGGGCTATCTCAAAGCTTAAGACCTCTATACATTCTGTTTCTTCTAAACATGCCTTCAGTACTTTGATATTGTTATGAGCGTTATTCTTTTTTCCCCGTGAGCTGCAAAGAAGATGGGCAACGAGGGATGGGTGACACGGAGAAGGTGAAGAGTCCCTCTGCGCTAGCCATGAACTCTGCAATAAAGTCCAGAGCGGCAAGGTTTGTGCGCGGGGGTGGGTGCGTGGGGGTGGGGATCGTCCTGTGCGGCAGCAAGTTTACCAAAGAAGCAGTGGGGATCCCTGCGAGGGGGTTGCTGGGAAATGGAAATCTGCGACGGGTCAAGGTGTCCGTTTAGGCTTCCGCCCGACAAGCCGGCTTCTTTAGAAGCCCCGTCCCGTTGCAAAGGAAGGGGACCTCCACGGGAGTGATTGCAGGATCCGGCCCGAGGAATGGAGCGGGGTGGGGAACAACCACGGTCTTGGCTGCCCCGGTGTTATGGACTCTCCCTTGACAGTGGGACAGCCGCAGCTTTGCTGAAAGCCAGCAGGTCAAAGAGGGCGATGCACGGAAGGGAAGGGAAGGGAAGGGAAGGGAAGGGGCCAGGCTGGCGCAGGCTGGGGCTCACCTCCCTATCATAGTGGAGTGCTGCTGGACGGCGGCTTCGAGGAGTCTCTCTAGGATGGTCCATTCCCCCATCGCGGTTCATCTGGAGAGGAAGGCTCGGGCAGCGGCGGCGGCAGGGTGGCGGCGAGCAGGGGGGTCTCCTCAGGAGCGG